ATATATTACAGTGTATACTCCTATTTGTCCAAAGAGTAGGACCATGACAGAAAATAATCTATTTGTAAAGATCAGCATGACTGCAGCCCTATCTTTTAGATTCATATGAGGAAGCTGCTTTAAACATCCAATGTTTCTTCCTGATTGCATATGTTCATCTTTTCACAAAAGTTCTTAATCTTGCATAAATGAAGTTTTCAGCTTTAATTAAGGTAAAGTCTCCCTCCAGTTAAACTTAACTTCAGGTGATTATGTGGACACATTCAGACTGTTTTTTTGGCAACAATATAGAAGTAGTTTGTCACTAACTCTTCTTTATGCTCAGCCAGTTTTGCTAGATGTTGCCACCTGCTGCGACTGATTTTAATTAGAAATGTAAAGGCATCATAAAAAGGGAAATAGACTCTGGTTGTCTTCTATATTTTATTATTCCATTTATTATGATGATGGGGGGCCCAAGAAAAATATTTGCTGTGATTTTTATAGCTGAGGGTGACAGTGAGTGGAATAACAACATCAAAGTAGATCTGTGCAAGGTTGGCCCAAGACATTTTCCTCCTTAGCCAAAACATTAAATGCTTTTCCACCTGGAAGACAGACATGGTGTCTAATGAACAAGCGCAGTCATGTTTTATATATGCCTGAGACAGAAGATTCCTCAATTGCTTCTCCAGTAAAAATACCACGGGAAAAGAACTAAATAACTATTTGCTGTCCTTTCATGACACCAAAAATCAGATACCTAAGAAAGCTACCTAGCTCACTATGCCTAATTGTAAGGTTGGCCTGGATAACAGTAGAAACTGAAAATGTGTTCAAATGTATTAGCACCTCATCCATTTATAGATCAAAGGTTCAAGTACAGTCTCCATGTTGTCTTGGCAAAAGTGTAGAACTGGTTTGCCATTTCCTTCTCACATGCTTTTTTCAATTTCCCCTGGGATTTCCAGGTAGTCTCCCAACCAAGTATTAATCTGGTTTGATCCTGGTTGTTTTCTGAGATCAACCAGTGTCAGCTAGTAGCTGCCACTTGCTGTAGGTGCAAGCCAGAGCAAAGAGACTCTGTCAATTATCCCATACTGCTACTAGATGACATCATGGCTCCTGCTCTGAAAAAAAAGAAGTCCCAGCCCTGTGCTCACCTATATTCTCCTCCACTGCTGTTAACTATTTGAAGTACAAGTTGCTGCTATGAAAAGATTACACCCTGGTTTATTTGATGAACTCTTTCTAAAGTATATCAAACTCAATGAGTTTGCTGTGTATTTTATAACAAGAAATTAGCTGGAATCCTGCCAAAAAGCTTGAATGGATAGAAGATTCCCAGGCTGGTCTTTTAGCTGTTGATCTTTTACATATGGTTCTTTTTAATTACACTGAACTTTACATAATCCTGTTCATTTGTTTGTAACAGTTATGAAATATTTGAGAGGTGGAATAAAGGTGGGAAAATTTACAAAGAGGTAGGATGAAGACATAAGAGTCGCATGTTCAGACTAGAAATAATGTGCATTATGTGTCCCACAAAATAATCTTTTCCAGTTGCAGTATCTCAACATTTGTTGGACTTCAACTCTGAAAACTTCCAGACAGCAAAGTCAGGTAGCCAAAAAAGCCACGCAGCTAGGAACAATGGAACTTGAAGACCAACAGATGTGAATATTGTTAGGCAGTCCTTGGCATGACTCATGACTCCCTAATAAATTGCTTTAAAAAAAAAAAAAAAAAAAAGACCTTGAGAGTCTAGAACTGTCCAGAAACAGAGAGGACTCTGGTTACATCTTTTCCAACTAATCAATTTTATTAAAAGGCGTACGCTTTCATGAGCTGTAGCTCACTTCATCAGATTCATGAAGTAACTAGACTGATTAGGATTTGAAAAGGGTTTAAGGCAAGGGGGAGAAAAGAAAGAATGGTTATACAGATGTAGGTTACATGCAAGACCAATTATAAGTACTTCATCAGTTAGCAAATGTGTGAAAACCCATTGTTTGTTGAGACTTTCTGAGATAGCCCAAGAAACTTTTTGATGTATTTGAGTTTGGCAGTCTCTTGCTCTACGAGGCTGGCGTAGTTTTGTTGTTCTAAAATGGCAACTTTGAAATCTGTACTTGAGTGTCCTTGGAGATTTAAAATGCTCTGATAGTACTTTGTCCTTGTTTTGAGTCCTGATGACAAAGTTGTGTCCATTAATTCTTTTGCACAAAAATTACCCTCCAGGTAATTGATTCCAATGTTGCTTTGTTCTTACAATGAGCAAAGTTTTAATGGTAAACTGAAACATGCTTTTGGATTGAATGAACCATGGGATCTGCAAACATTTTATATGTAAACCAATTCACTTCAAAATGTTATTTTTCTCAACTCTTTTCATTGCAAAATCATGAATTTCACCGTTGCAGTTTTCATTTGAATCTGTTATGTGTAAATAGAGGTACTTCAAACTCTTTTCCAAAAGTATGTCTGATAATTGTTTTTAGGTGTAACATTTCACAAGGAAAATTCTTTAAAAATTATGATTGTTCCAAAATTCAGGTTAGTCATTCCTGACAGAGCATGTCACACAGGGAAGTGCAATTTTATATGTTTCTTAGGCTAGAAATCTAAGTTTAAATGCATAACCACACTTTTTCTCTTTCAGAGAACAGGCTGGGCCAGAAAGCAACTCCATTATTCACAATGGTTATTTCTGGCCTCCTTCAGCAAAGCTAATGAGATCTGATTAGTAAATACCCAGGTGAATGGAACATATTTCTGTTGTTGTTGTTATTGTTATTATTATATTATTATTATTATTAAAAATTATTGGCCACCCAACTCCGCTGGACTCTGGGCAGTGTACAAAACAAAACAAAATAAAAACATAAAAAACAGCTAAAAACATTACCCTCAAGCATGAGGGACAATTTAGCCATTTTTTAAAAAATAATTGTAATGGGATTGATCTTGGACCAGATTTCTGTTAACTTTCAGACCCTTCCACCCATATATTTGGATTATGGCCCTTGAAAATCGCATTAGGGCACCTAGTTTTGTTGACTGATCATGAAAAAGATACACAGTGTTAGCACCTAATCAGTTCTTGGATAAGAGGCCACCAGGAAATCTTAGTGGTATAGTGGACTGGGATGATGAAAAAACATTCTGGAATAAAGCCATGACAAACCACTTCCATCTTGCTATTATTGTTAGATTTTTATCCTTCTTTTAAAATCTATCTATCTATCTATCTATCTATCTATCTATCTATCTATCTATCTATCTATCTATCTATCTATCATCTATCACTCAAGGTGGTGAACATAGCTAATTTTCCTGTCTCCTATTTTCTCTACAACAACCACCTTGTGAAGTGGGTTGGGCTGACAGAGAGTGACTGGCCCAAAGTCACCCAGCCAAACTAAGTGGTTATGTTCATGAAGTCACTAGAAGTTGAGTTTGACTTGAAGGAGACTTTATCAACTTTCAGAACTGTAGATGTACAGTTTGCATTATCCCTGATCATTGCTAGATAGGTACTCTAAATCAAATTATTTGTAGAGGTTCAGGTGGTGAAGGCTTGCATGCTATAAACATAATTATCAATGCATGCCTTTTGGACAGTGTTTCTTGTATGGCTTGTGTTTAGTCATAATCCAAATTTACTACTCAGTTTATTTCTTAAGGGTTCTAGAGACATTTATTTGTGGTCATTCTTCCAGAATCAGAAACCAGGCATCAGCTGCCTGCATCAAGGAACATTTCTAAAAATGTACTCTAAATTAAAAGGTAGCTATTATTTAATTTGGAAAAGTGATTCTTTTTCATGCATTTTAAAAACACTTGTAGCTGGTTTGAAGCTTTTTATTTACATGGTGCATTAGGAACACAGCATTCTGCCAAAAATCTAGCCTCTGGCTAGCATATTCTGTGCCAGCTGCTCCAGTTTGCCTAAGAAAGGGGTACCATGTGCGCCCTCTTTGAAAAATAAATGGTAGTCATGTATTTTAATGGCTGTTGAGAAATTATCAAAACCTAACTCCAGAACTCTCTGGATATCAGACTTACTAGCTTAAGTTTGCAGTCAGTCACTTCTGATGTGTACAGTTTGTTCACTGGAGTGTTCCTCCCTCTCAGATGTTTCCACCAAGTCTGCTCTTTCATACTTTTGTGCATTTAATTAGTTTCCATAGTGACACTCCCTTGTGAAGTTTAGAGGTCCCTCCCAGCAGGTTCTCCTAAATGCCAGCTACTGATCACCGGGTTTGTGTGCCAGGTTAACAGGACAAAGTCAGCCTTATTTCAAAGGTTTTCACCGAATGCCTTCTGGGTCATTTTTCTTCACTTCGTTTTGAATTCACTTAAGAATTCACTTAATTCACTTCAGCTTTGGAAAACCATTTACGAAACAATATGACTGATAACACTCTTCACTGAATTTCAGTTGCTGAATTGTGCAGGATTATATAAACTGAAGGAATTTCTTTTGCATACTTCCAGTACGTTTCCAAAGAACACGAATGCCTTGCTCGCTTGTATTTCAAGTGCCATTTGGCTGTTTGGTGACTTTTCTTCAGGACAAATAAACCGTTAAGGCAATCTGTCTGCATAAACAGACAATGCAGTGTACTTGATGAACTCAAAACCTTAATAAATCAGAGGTGTCCATGTTACTGCATATACTTTGAATGGAGCTATTTGTGATAGGAGTTTCAGGATGCATCTCCCGTTCAGCCTGTCAGACGTGAACAGCTTATTTGGGTAGGTTTAGAGCTGAATTGGGATCTAAGCTAAAATGTACTCCTCCCCGGATTTCCTTTGATTTTCAAACACTTAAGAAGTACATATAGCATATAGTCTGCAGTCTGATACTTGGGTAAGTCGCCTTCTCTTTAGGCAAAGGACAGAATCAGCTCCATTTGATATCTTTATGCCTATTGTTATTGTATTTATATCAGTGTTTGTCAACCTTAGCAACTCCCCCACCTGCCCATAGCTCTCACCTGCAGCTCTCACCCACCAGCCTGCTTGCCTGGGACTCCTGCCTCTTCCTGCTTAACGACCCGCACAGTCCTGGGGTTACGACAGCAAATGGGACTGCCAGCATTGTAAACGACGAGATCACGTGACATCACATTTTATGACCACATCTCTTAGCGACAGAAATTCTGGTCCCAATTGCTGTAACCTGAGGATTACCTGTAAATGAATAGGAATCTGAACCTTTCAAGAAGTTTTACAAATTCACTTTACAAAAGGGACTCAGAGACTCTTCAGCATCTGTAGGAAGCAAAAGCAGATTTTCTTCCAGACATTTCTGTGGGAATCAGCTAACTTCCAACAACACCCATTAAATCCTACCCATCGTTATCTGGGGTTACATGTCATGTTATGTTACCATGTCTTTCAAGTAAAAAGCTAAGTCTTCACCTGAAGCCCTTGAAAGCCTCAAGTAGGGGCCCCAAACTCTCCAGTGTGGCCCGCAGAGACTTTCAAAAGTTATTCTTAAATCGGCATTTTTAGTGAGAGGGAAGGGGAAATATTAAACTCATGACCAGAAAGTAATCTTATCTATTTAACTCAAGGGAAACAGCAGTGGAATAAATAACATTTATATTTTGAAATGCAACATGTGGCATGCTTCCAGTGGAGCTCCTGGCCCAGAGAAGGCTGCATACCCTATAATTGAGAAAATGAATGTGATATGTATATTTATGTAGATTTTGGTCTGACTATATCTTGGCTTATATTTTTTTTTTAGAAAAGAGGAGAATTCATCACAACCTATAATTTTATTTGTGTTGTAATATGAGCCATTTAGAATAGTCAAATCTAATCAGGGCCACATTGAAATCCTGGTTGGCCTTAGACACACTTACCTTTGTCGGCTGTCACTGCAGTAATGATCCAGATGCTAGGGTTATAAAGGTATTCCCTGGACCTGTGTTCTTCAATGAGCTGCAGGAAATAAGTTGCGATAAGTATATACATTATAAAGTAGTAATACTACCTTAAATATTTTTAATTTTAAGCTATATAAATTTTGATTTTACTGTTACTTTTCAGATTTTTAACTTAAAACATTTCTGTAGGCCCCAAATGTTTCATAGGCCCTAGGGCAGTGTTGTCCAAACTTGGCCACTTTAAGATGAGTGGACTTCAACTCCCA